AAGACATTTCCAAAACATATCAGTTTCTAAAGTTTTAAACCAGGAAATAACCAAGTTTAACTTTTTCTTTTCCTGTTTGCTTTTATTTTCACATAGGTCGTCAGCACTAAAGTCTAACAGCTTGAAATGTTTTCTTTCTTCTTTAAATAGTCAAGTCTTTGTTAATAAATTTGGCCTTAAAGCTCACTTGCCAGAGAAAAAAGCATACTTCCTGCACAACCTGGAGGTTGATACTGTACTAATCCCAACGGGAATCGAACCTGTGACCTCTGCTCCAGGTGTCGGGTGGGAGAGAACTGGTGGTACCGCGGTGAGCACTGTGAGGAGTATGTTTCTGAGTCGCTGGTGGTGGGGATTGCCATCGCCTCGGTGGCCGGTTTCCTCCTGATGGCGGCCTGTATCATCATCTTCTTGGCCAGGACGCTACGAGAGCATTACGGTGGGGAGGACGCCGAGGACCCACTGAGGTTAACAGCCGCACCAGCTTTCAGCTTTCAGTCAGATTAATTCATTAGAAAAGGTGAAAAATTTGAAATTGTCCCTCTGTCAGGGGGAGTGACAGTGTTCCCACACTGGAGCGCGCCACCAAGTTCAACCCCATGTTTGAGAGCGGCCCAGTCACGGCCCAGCACTACTGTCGCTATGATGACAGCGCACCCCGGTATTACCACTGCTGTGACCCTGGCCAAGCCCGGTACAGCAGCTCCGTTAGCGCTGATGCCTCCAAAGACCTCGGCAGTGACGAGATACGACACATGTACCAGAACAGCACACTCAGCAAAGAGGTGAGAGAATTGTGTTGTGTGTTTGACTGTGGCTTCATATAGCAGGTTGTACAAGACCAGGAGCCAGAGCTAAGAGCTGTTCCAGCACCAGGTGTGGGTCTGCTGTCTATCCAACAGGCCTCAATTGGATCATACCGGTGCCCTGTCAGTGTCACAAAACTGTTACAGTAAGAGTGATGCTAGGATATGAAGTACTCCAGATGTGTACTGTCCTACAAGGAGGTGATTTTTTTAAAGTTTTACTGGTGGTGACAATGAAGGAAGTAACAAGACAAGACCGGCCTTTGCTGGAGAGACAGAGACATATGGCACATTTTACTACAGGAGCTGAATGAAAAATGAGAAAACAGTCTTCTTATAAATCCCCTCACATTGATGACAGCTACTAAAACACTGCATAAAAAAAGAAGGGTATGCAGTCTTAAATTGTGTCCGTCTGTGTTTTTCACAAACACATAGTTTATCATGAGACCCACTGACAGAAGTGGCTCAGATGCTCTCCAGGCTCTTTATCTGCTCTCCGTCTGCAAATAGGCCTCTGCCTCTGCAGCCACAGAGAGTGTTCGCCTCTTTGGACACGGACAACTTGGTGTTGTGACATGTTTTTGGCTTTCAGTCATATGCAGATGAATGTTTTACCTGTGGTCTGCACCTGGTTCCCTGCTGACTCTGACAAAAACGTTTTCTCTGTGTCAACCTCTGACCTCTACAGGAGATCCAGGAGCGTCTCAGGATCCTTGAGCTGTGTGCCAGGGATCAGCACTTTTCAGACTTTGTGCGACAGACTCAAGTGTGAGTGGTGTAATGTCTGTATGTGAAACTAATGAAACTGAAACCCAAACTTAGCAAAGTGAGACTAACCACTAAGGTTTAATCTTTATTTACTCTGTGCAAAAATTTGGAGTGCACTTATTTGTACAGAAATAAAGTAAGAAAATGTAAATAATGTAACCAAAAATCACTGAAGATATTACACCTGTTGAAAAGTAAGTCCAGTTATAATCAAATAATTCAAATACATTAAAAAACAAAAAAAGCAGCAAAATAAACTTAAAAACTAATGACAATTAACAAGTAGGAAAATAAATCTAATGTATTGAGCTAAAGCCAGACTTACGTTTAGCACTAACAAACATTCTTAAAAACAGGTATCAACCTCCAGACAGAAAGCAGAAAGATTTACTGCACCGAAAGACAGAATGAAAGAACGCGACTGTCCAAGTGTTCACCAGTCTCATTGTCACACAGTTTGAGCAGCAGACGCCGGAAACTCTCTATCTTTCACATGAGCTGCGTCCTCTTTCTTTTGTCCAGCTGACTCTTTACATACATGCTTTGGGTTAGAGTCACAAGTTCAAACTTTGCTCTAGCTCTTTGTTTTTGTGGGCATGTTAACGTCTTTGCTTTGGGCTTTGAGTTTCACATTCTTAACCCCATCCGGTCCTTTGAGCAGCAGCTCTGGAACTTTCTATCACATACGTCGTGTCTTCCTCAGCAAGTGGAGGTAGACAGTGGCCCTAGAATATCCTGGTCGTTTTATTCCTAGACAAGGAAATCTGATCTTAAGAAGAGCAACAAGCAACTGTCATGTATTTTTCTCATGAATACAGTTGTACCTTGTTTAAATCCCGGTCGGCTTAGAGCTCAGTTTGTCATTTGGTGGTGGCACTGTTTAGAAAAACTAGATGTTCTCCTCCAAACCTTGATGCTTGTGTTGGATGTAGTAAGCTACACAGTCACAAAATCTAATCAATCTGAAGCTCTTTCCCCTCTGTGAAGGCTTTCCACCAAACAAATACAAGTATTTTTACACAGAAACCTCACAGAGTCCAGGTTTAAACAGGATATCCAGTGAACTAATCTCCTGCTCATCTGAATTTGTCTTGAAGGAAAAGACTAGGAAACGTTTAAAAATAGCAGAAGGTTTTGTAGACGCTCCAGCAGCAGCTTCAAAGAACCAAACAAGCAGCCGTTTGACCTGAAATATGGCCAAATATACAAACAATAATGGTGATCCTCTCTCTGCTCATCTGTTTACATCTGGGGTTGTACTCTGAGGGGCTCTGTGGTTTGGACGGGGCCTGTTTGTACCACATCCCTCTGTGGCCAGAACCACTAATCCACTTAAAACTAATCCAATTCTCTCTTGTTGCTGAGCAGATTCCTGGAGAGGAGAAGGAGCTCCACCACATAGTGAGCAGGACCCGGTGGCTTCCAGGTACGGACAGCGACTCTCCCACCTGTCACCACTCCTCTGTCGTTTTAGGACAAACTCAGCTGTCAGACATGAAACACTGTCAGACTGTTTCAGATGCTGTAAGGCTGCATCACGTCACAGGCCCTAACACTCAGATGAGATGGTTTTGTGTTGATGCTGTGACACAACATACTGTATCTCTGTGGACGAGGTGTTTGCAGCTGTACAGGTTGAACAACCGACCGGACAGACTGCTCCTACGATCACGTCCCCAGCTTCGCTGTTGACTGTTTCACAGGGAACTGTTGTCTGTCAGAGTCCGGCCGACACCTGACAGTGTTGTTCCTGTTAGTGGTTGTACTGATGACTGAACACCTGTGTTTCTCTACAGAAACCTGCCTTTGACTTTGACCTGAGGAGAGAAGAGGAGTTCGTCTTCTGCTCAATGCAACCGCAGGTGAAGGTGACCGGACTCTGAAACACCTGGGACTTTACTCTTTAAAGGCAAATCCTGCACTGATGGGCTGTTTCCTCTGAAGTGAACTTTGACCCTTGCATGGTTGCCTGTTCTTCTTATCTTTACCTGTAAATACTTATGTTTTCACTCTGACTTTATTTCTGTACAACTCTTCTGAGCACCTCTGTCTTATGCTTTAAATGGATTTCATGGTTTTAGCTTGAACTCAAGGGTTTTCTGTTTGCATCCCAACCTGCACATCACCACTGTCGTAGAACAGGGCTGCTTCTCAGGTCTCTTATGTGATCGCTCCACCCAGAATGACTTCCTGGCGTTCCAAGTGTCTTAGATCAGCTCTGAGGAGTAAGGATACACGAAAGCATCCTTCACAGACGTTTTTCTGAAATCAGTTGGTGGTTGGACGCTTCTGATGAAAGAAGTGTCCGACCACCTCTCTCCTCACACATTTTTCTCTCATTCCACGTGTGCAGTACTAAGATGTAAGTGAGGGAAGTGCTGTTGTTCATAAGAGACTTGGGAAGCAGCCCACGTCGCTGAGCTTTCGGACTCTGCGACTGATTATCAGTGAGAAACTTGTTCTGTTCTTTGTCCCACAAACTTTCTTCTGAAGTCCTTGATTTCATTTCAGGCAGTTGTTTCTCTGACACGGTTTGTGAGCCAGCTGTGACTTGCAGCGCCCCCCCATCGGTGCCTTCACTATTCTGCTTATCTGTGGTTGGATGAGCCCTAGACGTTAAATCAGCATTCCCATAAATCCATGACAACTGCAATCATTAAGCTTCCTGTTTCCTCCTCTGTCCTTTGTTCCTCTACCAGCTGCTGACAGAACACAAGCCGCCACGCCTGGGACTCACACGATGTTTACATTTCTCAGTCACTGCTGGACCATTAGCTGATGTGAACTTGTGTAGCTTGTCAGTGTCTTGTACTGTATGTGCATGTTGTTTAAGGATTCCTTTCTACAAATGTTCACACGTGGTCACCCAAGAAGGAACTGGTTTTAAAGCTGCCAAGGTGTCTGAGCTTACGATCCAGTCTTCTTCACACAGGTTGTTTTGTTTGTTCACATTATGTTAGACACACAGGGTTAGGAGATTTACACAGGATTGAATCTCTGTCATGCACCCAATCTTTTTGTGGAGTTAGTTTATCATCTAACTTATTCAAGATGCAGTGTTCACACACAGTATTATCTTATGCAAGATACAACATGTGATGTTGCTTGTCCTAATTGTGCAAGACATTATGTTGTTTATTTAGCCTGTTTCATACCATCATCTCACCCTTACAACTTGCCTTTTTTGCACAAGTTATGATGTTTCTGCACTTTACCTCATCCAGGTAAGACCATATCTTAATTGAGGTTTCAGCAGAATTTTCCTGTCGACCAAGTCTTAGTAAAACCTTCAGACTTTGGCAGCTTCATAGTGAAGTGTGTTATGACCCTAGAGACTAAAAAGGGTCACTGAGTAGTTAGGTGGATGCGTTGGAGAGTCGGCCCCCAGCCATAACAGCTGTGTCCTCAGGGCGGTCAGTGAAACTTCCCCTGACCTGTTCCTGTGTATGATAACCCCCCCCAGGCTGTAGCTGATAATGCATCCAGGAGTTAAACAGCTGATATTTGCCATTGTGTGTTTAGAAGCGTGTGTTTGTTTCTCCCAAGAGCCCCCTCAGCCCCACACGTCCTCCATGCTTCTTGTCCCATAGTCGAGGTAAAAGCCTGAGTTGTTCCATGATGTGTGCAGGTGTGGGGCTCTGCCGTCCGCTGTGTTTTCTGTGCTGTTAGTGGTGTTGGAGTGCGAGGAGGTAACCACAATTTGTAAGTCTGAGCTGGCACAGACACATTTTTCTAAAATAAAGTGTTTTTTCCAACATGGGGAATGTGTTTCAACGTACTTGTCAGGACACTGTTACTTGTAAACATGACAGAAGTCAAACACCTGCCGTAGCTGTGTGGTTGAATGTTTGACTGTTGCCAGGGAGCAGTTTGTTTTCTGGAAACGTTCTACTTAGAATCTACTGATTTTTCTATTGTGAGAACAGAGGATGTGAGCGAGCACGACAGGAATATCTACCTGTCGGTCAACCTCATCCTCATGACAACCTGATGACAGCACAGGTAAAGGAAAAGAAGAGCGTGAACAATGAGAGGATTACACTTTT